GACAATATATGGCAATTAATAATGTGTATTATTAACTCCTATAATATAATATAGGTTATAACTATATATATATATATTATATTATTATCTTGGGGCTTTCATATTCAATTAAAGCTCAATTACTCACATTTCTTACTGCATAAAGTCAACGTCCGATGCATGCATGCAGTGTTCAGTGGTAATTTAGTCGAAAATGATTTGCCAGTGTTGTCAGTAGGTATAAGTTCACACTTGAGAGACGGGATAGGGTGAAGTCATATCCGTCTGAGTACAGCCACTGTGTGAATGTATGTGTTTGTGTTTCTGTGTTGACAGTATTGTCTGGAATTGCAGGTGGTTGCTGTATGGGTCGCATGTTTTCTTGAAATGGAATCTTTGATGTATCTACAACACTAGTGGTACATGTATGTTGTAGTATTGTTTAAATACAACAAAGATGCCAGTAGCTACAGTAGTAGAGACAATTATGTGTACTATACTCCTTCTATTGTAATATCCAGGTATATTACCATAACTTATATAGTTATCTCCTTGTGGTAATATCTGTAATATTTGTAATATTTTTAAACAACTTTCTGCTTCTCATCTGCGTTAGCTGTATAGTGCCTTAGTTTCAGAAGTGAAAAGAGTTACTTATGCAGTTGGCTGAAAAGCTGAAGCCATGCCTACATTTATGTCATGTGAAATGATACATGCCGCGATTAGGAATTCAATTCCTTAGTTAGCAATAAGTTGCTGCTATCATCATAGCAGTTAGCCTAAGAATTACCACAAGTACCATTGTCTGTCACCAAATTAATCTGTAAAGTTTGGGGGAAAAAATGGCTATTTTTCAGCCCAGATATATATAAGCCTTAATTGTTTCACTACATAGAAGTAAATTAGTTATTCTTTCTTTTACATGTATACAGGTCTCATGGCGTGTGGGTGAAATGACATTTACTCAGTTAATCATAGCTTATATGATAAGTAATTATCATTCGTGCCATCCCAAGATCAGTGCAAATTAAGTATAAAGCGTATAATATTAGAGAGGGGGTCGAAGGGTCCGGACCCCCCTTTTACACAAAAAAGAAAAAAGCACACACACGCACGCACGCACGCACCCGCACGCACACACACACACACAACACTTCTCTTATATTGTCTCCATAGAAAAATATTGTTTAGCGCTAGATTTTCTGATAAAGATTTACTTATATATATGTAAATTCGTTATAAAAAGCTAGAAGTGGGCCAAAGAGGGGTCCGCAGGCGTCCGGGGGACGTGATCTGATAAATTTTTGCATTCTAGACATCAAAATTACTGCTCAGATGCTCTCAGGAATGCACCATTCTTTAAAAAAATCTTGGTGGAGGTCCCCAACCCCCAAATGGCTTGGCCGGCAGCTTTTTAAAAGCACCAGAAAAATGAGTACGGAAAAGTGCCTTTATTTCTTTCTTCCGGACACCCCCTTTTCAAAAATCCTGGATCGCCCCTGTATAAACCATGCTTGAAATTCAACTTTGGGTTTCGAATTGAAAAATAGAAAATGTGGTTTAAATGGAGTTTGATTGAATTAAATTTCAAGACGTAATTGAATAATTTTACAGCACCATCTACAGTTCCTATTGCATAACTGTTGGCTTTGGCAAAATAACACAGAAGAACCGTTTTATAATGTATCATTTATTAAATATATACATCATTTCCGAACTCTTGGCAGGAAGTAATGATAATCATTATTCAAATGAGCGAGCACATGGAAAATGGTTTGACATATTGATGGAAAACAGTTGAGAATAGGCACCATGTTTTTCTCAATATCTATTTTCATTTTTGTTATTGAAACATTTCTCTAAAGTGTTGGCGTCAGCCGGATTTCAGAGTTTCATGTTTGTTGGAGCTTCCTGCTGCTCTCTGACGTCAAGTTGTTGGGCAACATATGGCAAGCGCATACTAAACTTGCCAAGTGCTATTTGACATGCTCCCCGTGCTAAAGACCGCAAGCACTAGCTGTATAGTTACAGTGGCAGTGTATTTAGTTGCCACTTACTGTGACCAGTAATGTATACCAACACTCAAATACGGACATTCACACGTACATGACAACCCATGCTATGCTAGTAGTTGATAGAGAGCACTCCCAGTCTGTGTTATCACCCTGCTAAAAGCTGTTTAACGTGGCAGCCGTGTAAGTGTAGCTGTACTATAAGCGAAAATATTCTAGTGTATTGGTGGTATAGTGCTTTTTGCAAGGAAACATTCTGTTCAGTAAGCAATATTCAGGGATGGTAGTGGCCTAGAGGAACATATCGACATGTATGTATATCTTGTGTGGTTTTGTGCTCGTGTGGTAGCGGATACATATTTCACATTTATAAATGTGATAATCGAGAGGTTTATGATGTCAGTAGTTGGCAGGAATGTGAATTCTGAGCTCATTTAATCAATTAGTTACAGCTTGTGGGGTGATATAATCTACTGTATGGAATTTAAAATTGTGTGAAACACAGGAGCGGGTGTTAGGATATTAATAAGAGGAGCAGAGAGAGAGAGAGAGAGAGAGAGAGAGAGATGAGGGAAGAGAGAGACGAGAGAGAGAGAGAGAGAGAGAGAGAGAGAGAGAGAGGAGAGAGAGAGGAGAGAGAGAGAGAGAGAGAGAGAGAGAGAGAGAGAGAGAGAGAGAGAGAGAGAGAGAGGAGAGAGAGAGAGAGAGAGCGAGAAGAGAGAGAGAGAGAGAGAGAGAGAGAGAGAGAGAGAGTAGAGAGAGAAGAGAGAGAGAGAGAGAGAGAGAGAGAGAGACAGAAGAGAGAGAGAGAGAGAGAGAGAGAGAGAGAGAGAGAGAGAGAGAGAGAGAGAGATGAATGGGGTATAAAAATGAAAAAATGAACGTAGTGTACTTCCGAATCCTCATTTTCATCGTGGTTTATGTTTTTCAACAATTAGTTTACTAATTGCTTATTTATACTGCATTTCAGCATTTTTATGCCTATATTGAAGGGTTTGGGGTCCTTCTCTTTCTCCTGCTGGACTCACAGGCTTTGCTATGTTGTCCAGAATCTCAAATCCAGAGCAACAGAAGGAAAAAGTTGCATTCAGTGAAGAGTGTTGTATGTTATTATTTTATATTGTTCCATCTAACTATGAAACGAGCTATTTCATGTTGTATTTTAACGAGCACACTGGGTAGTTATAAAAATTAGCTCAGCAGTGTTTGCTTTGCGCACAATATGTGACACATACTTTTGGCCAATTCTGGTGGATCTTGGTGGCATTGTATTGATGATAGGTTCCCAGACAAGCGTCTAAAGTAATGGTGCATAGAAATAATGCGGTGTGTTGCATGTTTTAGTACAGACTAGAAAATGGACATAGACTTAAGTTAATAATGCGTCGGCAGCCTTATAATAAACTGTCAATTAATTCAGCAAAATTTGGCTTAAATAAAAAGAGATTATACCTTGTTAAAACTAATATATAGTATGAATGATTAGCTTCCAGATAAAGGTTCCAGGGTCAGCGCCTGCAGAAAAGTCACCTGTGTCACCAACTCCAGCAAAGATTCCAGGGTCGGCGCCTGCAGAAAAGTCACCTGTGTCACCAACTCCGGCAAAGATTCCAGGGTCGGCTCCTGCAGAAAAGTCACCTGTGTCACCAACTCCGGCAAAGATTCCAGGGTCGGCACCTGCAGAAAAGTCACCTGTGTCACCAACTCCGGCAAAGATTCCAGGGTCGGCGCCTGCAGAAAAGTCACCAGGCACCGACTTTGCGGACAAACCAAAGACACGTCTTCCGCAACTAAAAGTGAAAGTTCCAAAGGTATGCGTTGGTGTCTGCGTTTACACAGATGGTAGCATAGGGCTGTGCCAAATACTGAGCAACAGAAGTGACAGATGTCATTAGCAATTTGTGGCTATAAGCGGGTCAGAGTTTTCATCCAACAAGCCCCAAAACTCACCCCAGCATATGCGAAAGATGTTGTTCCTTAATGAATACCTGATATTATATATACTGATTTATTGTCCACTAAACTTTCTTATCAGTTAAAATTTATAAATATATTGATACTTCAATATAGTCACATATTCTATTTTAAGTAGTTCTAAGAATGTATGTACTTATTTGCAAGATATATCCTGATATAATGTTCTTAACATTTTTACAATAACATGTGTAGTAAACTGAGCATAATCAACCAAATCATTTAGGTAAAAAGCTTTATTGCTATTGGTCCGTGTATGATGTTGCAGACAATAGAGGAGCCAGTAGCAGGCACACCTGACATTGTACCAGTAAACATCAAGACTGCACACGGGAAAACATTTAAACGGAACTTCCTGCAATCTGACAAAATCCAGGTAAGTAACGTGTATACTAAGTACATACATACGTACACACAGACTGCGATCTTCAAATTATGATTTTTGATGACTTAACATTTATCTAACCATGCTAGCCATGTGTGAATACTGAAATACAGATTTAAACAAATTTAGCATCACATTTTGAGATTTTTAATATCAAGTACTTGTTTGTTTGATAACTTTAATTAGTGCTTCCTTTTCACTTAAGTTCAATAATTTAATAATCTAAAGACATTGATAATTGTTTTCTAGATTGAAAATAGGTACTTTAAACATTGACCATCATAGTTGAGCATCAATATGCCTTAAAAATGTTTAATATATTGTCAAACTATGGAAATATGTACCAGTCCAATCATACCCAATTGCAGCATGCTTAAATGAATGTGAAACCTAGATCTGGTAAGCGATAAAAGCATTGTTTAAACTTCAAATCACGTGCTCAGTGATATTGCCTGTTTCTAGGACATACTAGACTACATGCAGATGGAAGGCTATCACCAGATGGCGTTTACACTGTGTACTCCCTTCCCACGGAGGGACCTCTCGGATAAAGCAACGCAAACTCTCAAGGAGGCTGGATTCACTTCAAGTGTTCTACTAGTCATGGAGGAGCGAGATGAGATATAGTCGCTCCATCATAAGATCTACCTCCTTGGCTATTACAATCGGGTATTTGTTTGTTTACTCGCTATCCAACAGCTGGTATAATTGCTTTATGATATTAATTCCACATGAAAACCTGCAAGTATAACATTCCAGAGCTAGTCTTCAAAGTGTAACCAGTATAATCTAATGGTAACTAGGCCATAGACACTATAATTACAGCAGTTAACGACATATTCAATGTTATGAGCATGTTATTTAACATTTGAGGAATTGCTAGCACATTTTTTTGCAACAAGTTACCTTCTAGCTACTCTTTACGTGTAACCGGCATAGAGCCTGGTCAGGCTAGCACATTACCGTAATGTAGGAGTAGCACAGTTAAAATTGCAAACTGGAAATGTGGAACTCGAGGACAACTCTACCAGTTAGCATGTACAGAAGTCTTGGAAAAGTAATGAAAGTGAAACCAAAGAAATTGCTTAAGAATATTTTCAAAGTTAATGCTGTGTTGGTGCTTGTTTGGTGCATATTTGTTCATTGGCAAATTGACAAATGCAGATGAGCTCAGTTAGAGATTTGTTTATATTTACTGAACTGTTTACGACATGATAACTATTTCATTATGTTATGACAATAAGCCCTTATTTATAGGTATGATTCCATATATTCTGCAGCTAATTATATATACATTGGTGTTTTTCTGACACGGCTTGCAAGTATATGTATGGATATATATATCAATATTAATTACACATTGCTGTAAAATGATAATACATTCCAAATAAGTTTGTTTAAACAAAGCTATTCTAGTCCCATCTAGCCAGTAGTGGTGTTTGGGTATTGTGTAAGATACAAAAAATGGTGATAAGTGAATGAATAATAGAAATAAAAATAAAAATTGGCTACATTAGTTGCAGCCATATTTTATGTAGTTAAGTTTGTTCTAATTTTTATTAACTTTTACCAAAAAACAGGTTGGATCATTTTTAGTTTGTTACTGTTGTTATAATATCCTACACATGATAGTCGTGTGGGGACTTTTATTTCAATTTATGGTTATTCTATTGATTTTAGTTCAGATTTATATGTTGGGACTGGTTGTATGATAGCTATAGATTGATAGCATGCGCCACGGCGAGGGGGAACAGGCAGTAAATATATAGATATGTGTATTTATATGATGGCAAAGGAAAAAGTCATGGTCTAGTGTGATATAATGTCTATAACCAAGTACTATAGATTGTACGTATGTGTGTAAATGCTATAGCCACCTGTTTCACCAGGCTTTATTATGGGGTGTAAGCAATAAACACGTTCTAGCTTATATATCATTGCTGAGCTTGTTTCTGTTCACATTTGTGGTGCTATTAACAATTTGGCTTTTAAGCTCAGTTGCGTAGTTAACCGCTTGTTTGGTGGGAGCACAGAGTCACGTTTGGTTTGCATTCTGTGCAGTGGGCCGTGGGTAGTTTGCCATTTCCATTCTACATAAAAGCCAACGTCTTATCGTAATATATAATATCCTAACGTCCTGTTATCTCCATCGGTCTGGGAGACTGGGAGGTGCAACTGCCACCCCCCTTTGCACACTCCACCCGCTAGCTATGATCTTGAAGCGATATGTTCATGACTCTGTCACAGTAACAATTGTATCATCGGGGTAAATGCTTACGCTTGCTTATATTATAGAAATGGACAATGCATATGTATGTATCCAGTGGTAAGCAAATGGATAATGGTAATACGTGACAATTGGCAGCATTACTTAATATGTCATTTAATAAATTCAATCGCAATGATTAAGCATGTACTGGTATTGGCTTTCATTGGTGCCGGTTTTCTTCCTAACCATTTGTTATATGTATATATATATATATATATATTATAGTATAGGTATATATATATATTATATATATACTAATAGGAATAATAATAATAGTAGATAATTACATAATAAATATCTATTATGTACTTTTGATATATATATATATATATATATGTATCAAGAATCACATACTTATGTCTTATCATGGAATCTTCAATGGCATATAGCATCTTACAGCATCTTGCAAGTATCATTGGCATGTCCGCATACGACATACTCGTAAGGTAACTTGTATTGTCATAGTATCTGGTTATGGTGTAATTGTTACATTTTATTTATTATATATTATAGTAAACAATCATTCCCAGATAGTATAGTTAAATACGTTCCAAAATAAAAACATACGGAAAGAGCATATGCAGTATACGAAATATATATATATTTGTTATATATATAGCTGTGAAAATAGCACGTTCTACTTGATGCAGAGCATGCCACGTGCCTTAAAATAATTATTAATACTACCCACTGAAAATCAATGTTACCCACTGAGCTATCCTGTCACTTTGTAAAAGTATTGTTTCTTCCTACCGTACAGATCTAAAATTGTAAAGACAAAAAAATCAAAAATGCGATTGTCTCACACACCAATAATTCACGTGAAATGTGAATTGTGTTAATAGGCAGGGAATAGGGTTTCTTATTCCCACCATTCGGAAGATGGCGTCATTTTCAAGAACCGCGCATATTTGTAAAAAAAACTACTCTATTTCCAGTAACCGTTTTTAAAGTCTGGTAGTGTAGTAACGCTCGTAGAGTCTATGTCCCCCAGGTTACTGCCGGAACGTACCCTGGGTACGGTCCGGTGTACCGGAACGTAGGCCTACCCTGGTAACTATCTGATATGGTTAGGGTTAGGCGTAGGCGACTCCCTAGACTCGTTAGTGGAGTAGGCGAGGTACGGTCCAGCATATTAGATAGTATCAGGGTACGTTCCGGCATAAACCGACCAGGCTCTCCGACTAGTTACACGGCGGAGGAGTTACACGGCTAGTTACGCCACGTAGTGTTAAGCGAGATGGGAACTTGTGGCTAGTTCCGGCAGTACCCTGGGTGACATAGACCCTCTCGATCAGCTGTAGTAACCCCTCCCCCGCTTCAGTAGACGTAAAATTCTGGTAAATTAGTAACAATGAGTCTAATTTTATTCCGAATCAGAGAAATTTTGCATTTTAATACGCATTCACTAATCGCTAACTGAGTAGCTTAGTAGAAGTTTAGTAAACGATAATGTTTGTCTGTATGCTGGAACGTGATACGGGCATTTTATATTATATAGAACATTATAATTATAATTATATTTATTATTATTATCATATTATTATTATTATTATCATTTATTAACATTATAATTATATAGAACATTATTCGTGTAGATCTATGTATATTATGATGATTGCTGCTTCTTTTCAGAAGATAGCCATCAATATCTAGGCCTATATCTATATCAATATCTGGTCTATATATATATATAGATAGATAGATACATACATACAGGTGGTGCAGACACGTTAAGGAATTAAGATCGATAGTTTCCGACAATAATATTATCAATATATATTATAGTATTATATTGTACTATTCAATTAAACTAGATGTAGCTGCTATATTAACTCGTAATATTAGCGGGCTAACGTTGTTAGAATAAGGCATATATATACATCTATAGGCTATATACATATATATATATATATATATATATATATATATATATATATATATATATATATTATATATACATATATCCAGCGCTTATAACTGATTACTCCCGATAGACGGCGGCGGCGGTGTTACATTTGACTACAATTTCGGAAACGTACGGAAACATAAATATATATATATATATCGCTAGGATTTATTTTAATAATATTCATATATTAATATTGATGCAGTTAGAAATCGGTGAGCGACCAGTCAAACACCGATAAACAATTAAATACCTACCGATTATAAATTAATTATAAATTGATCCAAAAACATGGCTAGCTCAGCGGCCTGCATGCTTATTCCGTAAATGAAACCGTCGGTAATTTAATTGGCCAGGATCGATTAGATTTTCACATTCCGATTATATTTATCACTGTAATTCGAAATCAAATACATATCGCGGCATCCGTCGGTGACGTCATCGTAGTCGTTGAAGACATCGTCAAGATTGACGTCGTCTGCCGCGTGGTGCACGCCCCCCAGCGTCGGTAAATAGCGGTGAGATGATACAGCCGACGACATCTGGCGGCGATCTATTGAATCACCCGCTGTCTGCATGTGCCGCGGCCAAGAGTCTGCCTTCGATAGTGTGCACGGAGTCCTAACGTCAAGGAGGGGCATCGCCGTGCTACAAACATCCGGTGATTCTTCCCTCCTATTCTCCAGCGCTGCCTTCAGCTCGTCTAAGACTGCCTTGCCCTCTACCGGCTGTCGTCCGTGCGTCGACACGTCTCTGTAGCTCTGCGATCGTAACGTCGTCGGCGCTCGTTCACAGTCGTTGCTATCGTCTGCTTCAAGATTGCGCTGACCTCGGGGTTCCTCTTCTCGCTCACCCCTGTACGTTTCCAGCAGGTTTCCATCTGAATGTCGTGTTTGTTTCAGTAACTGCTGTCGACGCCAGTTGTTAGAAGGGAAAGCCTGACAATATAGTACCGTCGAGGACAGCCGTTGTCCGTGGGCACGCGGGGATGAAGGTGGAGCGGGAATGTTTGCGCGTTTACCACTAGCTTGACTGTCTTGGTGCCCGACTGTGTTATGCGGGTCAGTCAGTTGCCAGTATTTACCGCTAGGCTGACGGTCAATGTGGTAGTCGGCGTTGTTTTCGGGGTTCGACAATTGGCAGTATTTACTTCTAGGTTTATTCTCGAAGTAATGGAGCGCGTTTAAATTGTATTCGCCAGAAGGATGCTGGTCTAGGTAACCAACCGTGTTTAGCTTGTATCCACCAGCAGGCTGCTGGTCTCGGTAACTGACTGTCTTTAGCTTGTATTTACCAGGAGTTTGCTGGTCTAGATAACTGACCGTGTTTAGCTTGTATCCACCCGCAGACTGCTGGTCTGGGTAATTGGCTCGACTGTGAAGGTCCGCGGTTTCTCTGCATTTGACACTTGTCTGATTTTCTAACCGACCGGCTGTGTCTTCGCCGTAGGCAGAATTCTCGTGTTTGCCACTAGGTTGACAGTCTAGGTAACCGGCCGTGTTGTGCAGATCAGCTAATGAACTCTCCTTCGTCAATAGCTCGCGCGCATCCAGCGCCACCCTGTCGGTACTCGCTGCTGTGGTAGCGCTAGGCTGCCTCCGAATGTTAATGCTAGTATTGCTTGCCGAATTACTCACACCGCCGGCGGAAGTATGACGAGCTCGAGACGCCGGTGCCGTGAGCTCGGCTTGAGACTCACGTGGCCAGCTGTCTGTTCTAACTACAGATGACGACCTGCGGCTGGAGCGTGGTGTGGCTGTCGCTGCTGCCGTCGGTGACGCTGACGCTGATCTCCTGTTGAGATGTAGCGGTGACGCTGACGCTGATCTCCTGTTGAGACGTATCGGTGACGGTGACGCTGATCTCCTGTTGAGATGTATTGGCGACGCAGACCGCGACGCTGAAGGGCGCGGCAGCTCTGAGATGCTGAATCGACGCTTCCTGTAGATTATGAATGAAGACCGCTTAGCGGGAAGCTTTGCACGTGCAGCTTTCATTTAAACTATTAAACTATGCAGTATTACACGCACACACACGCACACGCACGACACAACCACACTGCACGCACGCAGGCGCACGCACGCACGTGTGTGTGTGTGTGTGTGTGTGTGTGTGTGTGTGGTGTGTGTGTGTGTGTGTGTGTGTGTGTGTGTGTGTGTGTGTGTGTATATAAGTTTAAATTGAGGAAGTAGATAGGCAACGGTTTAGTACACACCTTGCGAAAACGAAATCCACTTCGCCGTGCACTGCCCGAAGTGTCATTATCACTTTGTTCGGCGCCTGTCCTATCACCGACCGCTCGTTTATCTACGTAGAAAATTAAGAGAATTAATAAAACTTTTATGATATCGCCGAGTATAAATTGTTAATATGTATTATATACTGATTCTTATACTGCACTTCGAGTGATGTGTGTGTGTGTGTGTGTGTGTGTGTGTGTGTGTGTGTGTGTGTGTGTGTGTGTGTGTGTGTGTGTGTGTGGTGTGTGTGTTGGGGGGAGTAAATACTAGCATTTCTCCTCAAAACCGCTCAGCTAACCTTAGATAAACGCGTGTTTCCACTGATCGAGCAGGGTATTGTCGGGCAAGAAGTCTTTTGTTCACTCACATTTGCTCACATTCGTGACCCGTGTCAAAATTAAGAAATGTTAGGTGTAGATACGGGCCATCTGCGGTTGTCTGCATTATATGCATTAGGGTCGCTGCATCAGGAATAGAACCCGAGTAATCGTAGTAACCCGAGTTCACTCATTCGAGCTAGCGACCACAAACGTCAACCCAAACCCGCTTTTTTCATGACAGGCGGTTTTCACTACAATCGAAGAGTGAAGGACAATGACTGTAAGCGAAATTTACAAATCTGAAACTAACCTGCACCAGCTGATCTCCGACCTTCAGACGACCTTCTTGGGCCGCCGGGCCGTCGGCTGCTATCTGCTTGACGAAGACTCCTTTCTTGCTGCCAGACACGACAAATCCGAAACTACCATCCACTGGTTTTGCTAATGAGATCAAGACGAACTGCTTCTGCAACACACAACCTCATAGAATGTCAGTTTCTTGTCATAAATAAGTTGACAATCTGTTTGTCTAATATTCCGTTTCCTATAAGTAAGGTTAGTTGATTGCGAGTTTTTATTTGTTGGTAACAGTTACACTGTTCAACATGACTTATTTAGTACAGCTTGACAAGAAGTAATGAATGCATTGGTTGGTTGCGTTTTTTTTCGATTCCTTTTTTTGTGTTTTTTTTTATATGATAATACACAATATTATATGACATATACGTACACACATGATTTCAAAACATAATATTTACCATAAGTAAACATGTGTAGCGAGCAGCCTAGCAACGCGGCTGTTCTACCGCCGGAACGCGTAAATTTCACTGCACATTGTATTGTTACTTCACCCGAATTTTTAATGCGTGAACACTGGAATTCCCTGCTCTGTGCACAGCGCGTTCACAGAACTAGCGCGTGCGGGGTATGTTAGTGATTTGTAGAGTTTTCGAAGGATATTGCCATGTTCCGGCAATGTGTATGCCAATTATTTGCGCACGGTCGTGCATGCGTGTGCGTTGTATTATTTAGGATAACACACGCGCATGACGTTGACTAGTGGAGCTGCCACGAAGACATTAACCGCATATGACTTGTGTGAGAGTTGCGTCGGCGCGTTGTCACCCGTCGGTAGGCCTGTTGCCGCTGCCAGCGACTGACGAACGACACGGAGACATATATAGAGTAGAGGAGAGCCGCCTATTGGTCGGCCGGCGACACCCGTCAGGTAGGTTTGCGGTCTTTTTATGGAAATATGCGTCACCGACGGTAGGCCTAATCGACGGTAAGTTTGTACGGCGGTAACAATAGACACGCAAGTTACTGTGGCGATACTCGCTCGTCGATGGAGCGAACTCACTGGATGATAATCCTAATAATGTTGTCGATCGCTGCGACGAAAATTGCCTCGCGTGTCCGTAGCCTTTACTGCATGCGTGCTAAAATTACGAAACCAAATTTGCTATACAACACTAGCATGGCGTACCTTGAGTACTGCACTGCGTAGCTCACTATCGGAATCCGCGGTTTCTCTGCTCTGTGTCGACAAGCCAAGATCTCTTGACCATCGTTGCAGGCCGTCGGTCGAACCACACCCTGGTTTAGCAAATGATAAGAAATTAACACAAATAAAAGCGTGCAGTTTCAAATAATATGACAACGCGTTGAATATAAAACAAATTCTTTGAATATTCTAATAACGATACTGCGATTTTTATGAACACGGGATGTTTATATACCTAATTTAATCCACGATTCTTTGTTGCGAAGTTTTTCATTACTTCCATACTAAAACTTAATTATATTCGATAATATAATATAATATAATAATATAATATAATATAAATACGTAAAAAACGATAACAACAGCAACACGGTAATGGTGAGAAGCGTCATCACCTGGCTTCTCTGATTTTGTCCTCGCAGGTAATTTTCGTGTGGATACTTTCAGAGGTCGTCGCGAGAAGGCGCGCAGTTTCTCCGTCATGATGCGTTTCTTGCGAGACCTCGTGTTACTGTCCATGTCACTGTCGTCAAGGGACGCCTCGCAGTCCTCACACGAGAGCCTACCCTGTTAAGACAAAGACAGTCTGTGCTGTAATTACACTATGCTACATGCATCGATTCGTTTTGTCACGAGAAAGCAATAACGTAAGATACTTCATTCTTGAAAAATTGCTTCATGCAACAAACTAAAATTATTTCACGCAGTGAGCGTACCTTGGGAATATCGAGAGAAGTGAGACTGCCCACGGTGTCGGCGTGTCGTCGGAGACGAAGTGTGACGACTGTCGGCGCCCATCGCAGAATGCGCACCACCTCATTGTAGGCAAGCCCTGTCGTCTTTATACCATTCACCTTTAATATCACAAGATAATCTAATACATATTTGTGTCTGTTTGTTTGTCTGTTCTCAGTGCCAATCAATATAGAGCACTCTGGAAATGTCCAAGGACGTTCAGTAGGGGTAACTTTTGATTCGGAATGTCATGGGCATATTGGATTTGATCTCCGAGGTCATATAAGCACACACAAAATAACGAAAAAATGGAAAAAATAAAACGGGCTCCTGCAGCAGCATTTAATAAACGGGCCCCTGCGGAAACAGGATTCAAGTCAAAACAGTCTAAACAGGATTCAGCTTGCACTGACTTTCTTTATTGTTACTAAAGATACGGTAGATAAATAAATAGATAGATAGATAGATAGATGAATAGATAGATATAGTGGCGTATTTAGGGGGGAGCAAAGGGAGCCATGCCCCCCCCCCCTGTTGATCCGAAAGTAAAAAAAAGAATTGTTCTACTAAAAAGAGAATTGTCGTAGTCAGAATGAAGGCTGTACATGTACTCAAAAGTACCTCAAATACTATCTCCTGCGATCTACATTTACAAAATTTTCTGGGAGAGGACCCCCATAATCCCCGCCTGTTTTTCACCCCCTTCTTGTAAACCTAGATCCGCATATCTTGGCAGCAGAGAACAACGAACAAAAGTGTCGCCTTCTCGCAAGGCGCCCAAAACAAAGATTGCAGAGCTGAGAGGTGTGGAGAGGGAGGCGGAGGAACCATTAAAATATAAAGTCATCCACTATTTTGCGCAGTTCGCTGTTTTGCCCCCCCCCTGTTGAAAAATCCTGGCTACGCCACTGGAAAAATAGATAGATAGATAGATAGATAGATAGATATATATTTATCTATCTATCTATCTATCTATCTATCTATCTATCTATCTATCT